GATGACACTACTGTACTCTACCTGGTGTGAAAGAGTGAGACTCTTCTCCAAAAAAAAAAAAAAAAGGTCATTACAATAAAATATCATCAGCATATAAGAAAATAATGGACTTTCTTATCTCTAAAGCAAGACAATAATCTAAAAGTGTTTTTAAATTATTTACATATACATTAAAAACAAGAAGGGCCACACTTGGCTATTTTATACCACTTGAAATACTTTCTGATCTATCTGAACAATTCTATTGATCTGGACTTTCAAGGTCATACAGAAGTCCTGGTTTTATAAGAACTGAGATTCTATATTTAATTCATGCAACTTAATCTGAAAGTAGTTCTTATTCACAGAATCAGAGCATGAGAAATCATTTGAAGCTACATTCTTTTAAAAACAAAGTTTATTTTCCTAATTATAAAATGTACATTGTCAACAATTTAGAAAATATTTTAAAATTACATTATTACCCTCCCCCCAACTATTTATTCTGGAAAATTTCAAACCAACAGAATACAGATATGCAGGCCAATTCGCCCACTTACAAATGATGAGCCAACAAATTTACTCAGAGCTTCTTGGCAGTCCAAGTGAAAAGGGAAAAACAGGCCAGTTATGTAATTCACATTGCCTATAAAGAGAAAACAACACATCAGTTACTCAAGGGTAGCCAAATGTTTTATGACTTTTGGCTCAGAGAGAAAATTCTCTTGTGTTCATATAAGGAACACAGAGTGATATCACACAAAACAATCTGTAAGCTACGTCTTCTGGAATTCCTCAGTGTAAGCAGAGGGTACAGGGTATGAAGGTAGTAATGGGGTTTAAGAGCAAGAATTCCACCACCCAGCTACCTGGATTTGAATCCTGGCTCTATCGTTTATTTTATTTTATTCTATTTTATTCTATCAAAATATTACAGGGGTACAAATGCTTTAGTCACGTAAATTGCCTTTGCACTGCCCGAGTCAAAGCTACAAGCTTGTCTGTCATTTATTAATTTACCTTGAGTAATTACTTAACCTTTCTGTGCCTTAGTTTCCTAATTGATAAAATATTGTGATTAATAATAATACCAATATTAATATAATACCAATATTAATATAATATTAATTAATGACACCACCTACCTCAAAGGGCTCTTATGAAGCTTAAATAAGCTGCTGCCTATAACACACCTAAACACAGGTAACACAGGTACAGGCACTATGTACCCGGCACATAGTAAGCATCATTATTATTAAAGTAAATGCTAAAATAAATGCTTGCATATTATGCTAATAGTACAGAAGAAGGGCACTTAGACCAACTAAGGCCTGAGGGAAGGGTTCCTGGAGAGAGGATGCCCGTGCCGGGTCTAAATCTTGGTCTGCTACTTAATTGCTCTTTGACCTTGGCCAAATTATTTAAACTTTGCACACCATTTGCTAAAGCTGAGATATGTTGTCAGTGGTCAATACGATAAGCTAATGTTTGCAAAATTAAATGCACTAATATATGAGGATTAGATGAACAAATATACCAGAGCATGACATTAATGACAATGAATATTTCCTCTTGGATCTGGTAGAAAATTAATGAATTACTCTTGCATTCAACTTTTACTTGTGTCCATTTTTCCAATTAAACAATTTTAATTTAGAAACAGTTGTACAGAAATATTCATTCAGATCACAAGAAAACGACCTGGAAGAATGTTAAGTGACATCACTGGCTTAGCACAATCCTCCTGGTCTTTTTCAATCCCATAGAAATGCACTGGCACATGTGTCCATTTTCGAGGCACACTGTGCCTACCTGACAGTGCAGGTAAAGTGTTATGCAACACCTTGACTTCCATTAGGCAGAACTGATTGCCCCTCATCTGTATCACTGCATACATTCCTCATTTCACCTCACGCAGATTCCACTAGAGTACACTGCGTTATACTTACAGTACATTTATACCTCACTTTATAAAAAAAAGAATTTATGGCAACTGGTTATATACCTAGTATTTCTCTCTCCAAACCGTGAGTTTCTTGAAGAACTGTGTCATAGTCATAGTATCTGGACAGAAGCTGGCACATAATACACTGACTCTCCATGTTTGGTGAAATGCTCTGGGTAGGATTTGAAGTGTGCTGTTATAAGCAAATGAATCTAATATAAAGTTGGGGAGACTGTATAGAAATTAATGTGAAAGTTACAGACTCAGCCTGATCCTCTCCTTTGGCAGATGAGAAAACCAAAGTCTAGAAAAGTTGAGTGATTTGCTCGAAGTTATCTAGCTAGTTAATGTCCAGAACCAAGACTAGAATCTCAAACTCCCATCAACCAATCCAGAGGCCAATCCACTATATTGACCTGCTTTTTAGACCTCAGTGATTTGGTGTCTGTCTCCATTACTGCTGTGAAGCTGCTAATTGTTGGTCACCAATCACTTTTGTGTTGCTAAATCCAGTCAGTGCTTTCCAGCCCTTGATATACTTGACCTATTCATGGTCTCTGACTCTGCTGACCCCTCTCTATCTTGCCTTTCTTTCCTACCTTGGCTTCAGAGCTTGCCAATTATACCTACCTGGTTCTTCTTTTCTCTCTGGCCATTCTTCTCAGACTTTTTTGTGGGCTTTTGACCATCAGCCACCTCCTTTTAAAGGTAGTGCTCCTTGGGGGCCCTATCCTTAGTCCCCTCTATTATTTCTTCTATATTTTCTCCCTGATCGATCCCATCCACACCTAGAGCTTAAATTACCAATGATAGGTTAATGTCCTCCAAATCTATATTAACTCAACTTCTCTCCTCATTCATAAACCTGTATAATTTAACAGTTTATTGGACATTTCGCTCTGGATGTGGAGGTTCCGTCTACCAGGTCATAGTCATATTGCTATAGTTTGTGAGGGGGCCTAATAAATTGGACCCTTATTTTCCAGGTAAAGGAGAGAGCAGCAGGAAACCAACTATTATCTTTGTTACTGACAGTATTAGCTTCCTATAGCTGGTGTAACAAATTATCACAAACTTAATGGCTTAAAACCATACAAATGTATTATCTTACAGTGCTAAAGGTCAGAAGTCCTAAAATTTTTGTTTGTTTGTTTGAGACAGAGTCTCGCTCTGTTGCCCCGGCTAGAGTGCCGTGGCGTCAGCCTAGCTCACAGCAACTTCAAACTCCTGGGCTCAAGCGATCCTCCTGCCTCAGCCTCCCAAGTGGCTGGGACTACAGGCACGTGCCACCATGCCCAGCTAATTTTTTTTTTATATATATATTTTTAGTTGTCCAGCTAATTTCTTTCTATTTTTAATAGAGACGGGGTCTTGCTCTTGCTCAGGCTGGTCTCAAACTCCTGAGCTCAAACGATCCACCTGCCTTGGCCTCCCAGAGTGCTGGGATTACAGGCGTGAGCCCCCACACCCGGCCAGAAGTCCTAAAAATTAAAGTGTTGTCGGGGCTGTGTTCCTTCTAAGGGCGCTAGGGAAGAATCCATTTCCTTGTTTTTTCCAGCTTCTGCAGGCTGCCTGCATTCCTTGGGTCCACCTTCAAGGCTGACAGCATAGCACCTTCAAATCTCTCTCTCTGACCTCTGCTTCCATCATCACATCTCCTCTGACTTTGATCCTTCTGCCTCCAGCCCAGCCAAACAATCCAGGATAATCTCCCCAGACCCATAACTTAATCATATCTGTAAATACCTTTTGTCGTATAATATAACATATTCATAGGTTCTGGAGATTAGGATGTGGACATCTTGGGGAAGGGGCATGATTCTGTATAACACAACTGACAAAGTTGATACTGGATATTACCTGTGGACAAAGAGCTTCCTAATGCCAGACTCTGAAATTTAATAGGTTTACTTGCTTTGTAGCCCTGGACTAGGCACCCTCACCCCTACCCACAGGCCCTGCTCTGGGAAAAGCAGAGGAGAACACTACAACAGTTCCCTTTTGTGGGCATAGGGAGTCTGGCTTATCCACAGGTGTCTAAGTTACTAGATAGTGGTGGTGACGTTCCTTAGGAGGGTGACCAGATTGTGGGGTATGATGATGAGTTCAAATATGGCTTCCAAATGGGTCTCCCTGCCCCAAGACTTGCTCTTCCTGTCCATTTTCACTTCCTACTTTTACTAACGAAGCCTCGTTTGCCTGGAATTAAGTCCTTCCCAACTAGTCTCCCCCAATCCCGGCACCCAGACCCTCCAGCTTGCCCCAGTGCCAAGGGTCACTGACTCTCCAACATCAGCCGGGGTCAGGCCAGCACCCAGATCTCTAGGACTCCAAAGTCCATGCTCTTAACTGCTCTTGTTCGACTGCCTTGTCTTACGAGAAAGCTATTTTAAAGTCGAATGGGCTTTATACTTTACAAAGTACCTTTGCGTACATTATTTCATTTTAGCCTCGCAGCTGTCCAGCGTAGCCAGCACGGGTATGACTATGCCCATTTATACAATGAGGAAACTGAGAATCGGGGACTCAAGGCTCGGTTCACCACACCCTACTGCTAGAGCTGAGTGTCACTCAGCAGCCTCGACATCAACCGCGCACCCAGTCCTTCTGGTCCCTCTCCTTGGAGAACCTTCCTGCACTTCGCAGAACCTGCCGATCAGGTCTGCGCCAGTCTGGACGAGGCCACTGCTGCCTCCACTACAGGGGCCCAGGACCGTCCCCATCCGCAGTGACGCGCGCCGGTGACGCCACACAGTGACGTTGTGGTGACGCGACTTACCCTGAGCCAGGTGCCGCAGGGCAGCCACACCCTGGGGCCCCCTGCTCTGGAGGAGCAGCGGGTCGGGCGGGTGGGGAAAAGCCACAGAACCCGCCTGAGGCAACCTCCGGGTCCTAAATCCCGGGACCCCAACCCCGGGACCCCGCCGGCCGGCGGTCGGGCGGTTGCTAAGTGACGCCAGCACGCAAACGCGCGTGCGCGGCCACGGCGGTGTGCGTGAAAGCGGACGCGCGCCGCGGCAGCGGCGGCGAGGACGGCAGCGACGGCAGCGGCCGAGGGGGCGTTGGCTACGAGCCGGGTGCGGAGCAGGCGGAAGAGGCGTCTGTGCCGGCGGCCAGGTCGCAGAGGAACATCGTTGGGGTAAGTGGCCCGGGCCTCGCGGGGGAGGTGGGGCCTGGACGCACCTGCTGCGCGGGCCCAGGGCGCGGAGACGCGCGCCCCTACCGTCCGCGCGCGCCGCTCCACGCCCCTCTGCCGCCTTTTCCGGGGGCGGGGAAGGCGCGGCGACGGGGGCAGAGCAGGGTCAGTTCCTGGGCCCGGCGCTCTGGGAAGCCGTAGCGAGGGGCCTGGGAAAACTGACACCCCTGAAGGTGTAGGAAGTAGGTGTCTAGGGGAGGAGTTCGAATCAGCAGCAGCTTCGGTTCTCCGAGCAGCCAGCCTCGCATCGTGTCTGAGACGGCGTTGCCCCAGACCGAGCGAGAGGCGGTGGAACCGAGGACCCCGGGGTTGGGGTTCGGAAAGTTTGGCGCCGCTGGGCCCCTCATCTCCCCTGCCCCGGCCGGGCTCTGAGTGGGAGCTGGTTGTTATGGAGAGAGTTGTGAGTCAGAGCCTGCGTGCGGCGTCGACACACCCACGATCTGGGGAAGGCGACCTATCAGTGTAGAAACGGGGCAGCCCACCTGTTGCCTAGAGGTTCCAAGTTCACATGTATGTGCATGTGCTTCCCTGACATTTTATCACATTGTTGCTGCAGATTTTGAGAGCAAGGGGTTGATACCCATCCTCAGTTGTTACCTCCTCAGAGACTCAAATAGGTTGTTATATTTCCCAGAACTGTGCTGTGCTTTACTAGGGCCAAGGAAATAAGGAAGCACTGTTTTGTTTTTCTTAGAAGCAGTATAGCCTTGTGATTTTCTGGGTAGAAAATACGGATTCTGTTCGATGTGTGGGCTGGAAAATGCTGATGATCAGAGTAGCCAGAGTATAAAGTTGCAGCAGATCATCAGCCCAGTGTTCTCTTAGTGCCCTGGGCTCCTCATGGGTAGATGTGTAGTGGTCGTAGTTACCGTCCTTGGGAGGGAGGAGTATTGGAAATAGGGAAGAAGTTAGTCTTTTCTGACTTTCTGTTGTTTGCGGCAATACATAGAACCAGTAAAAAGATAGAGTGTGCCAAAATTTAATCATGATTCGTGCAAGAAAGTTGAGGAAAAAAATAACTTCAGAGTTTTCATTCAGCTGTAAAATTCTGTGATTTAGTTTCATAACTAAGGATCTGTAAAGTATGTTACCTGAAGTTCTAATATCTTAGAACCAGTAATCATTTTGCTCTGTAACACTTAGAATACTTGGAATTCAAGATCTCTTTCTCTTTGGACTATAATAGCTTTTAGGGCAAGAATCACCTCTGTTTTCTCCTTGCCATATCTCCAGCTCTTAGAAAAAGTGCTTGCCACAGAGTAGGCATGCAGTAGATATTTGTTATATATCATGCTGTGCATCAGTGGTGTATCCGTATATAGAAAGCATTTAATTCAGTCCCTCAAGTACTTAATACATGTACCCCCTCTGCCCAGTATTATATTTGGGAGGAGGATTGTGGGGTTACATATGACATAGAAGCCCTGGCTTTTTCCCTTTAACAGCAACAGTCTAGATAGGAAAAGAAAACGTATGTATATAAAATAATTCTAAAACCAAATTAAGTAATATGTAAACAAATGCTATGTGAGGACTGAAAGTGTGGTAGAAATTTAGAAAAGACAGGACTTGTGGGCTGAGTTAGGGAACTCGTTGGAAGAGGTAAGATTTGAGCTGGTCTTTGAAATAAGTGTAAAATTTGAATTAGAAAAGAGATAAGAAATTATGTGCTGAGAAAATAATGTAGATTAGGTTGTTGGGGAATATATTGAGCAGACTCACATGTCTGGTGACTGGAGCAGAAGGTCTCTGATAGGGGAATATTGGAGAGAGCAGGTTTGGCAGGTTGGGAAGGCAAAGTGTTAGGGACTGAGGCAGGCTTATCAGCATCCCACTGATAACAAGATAGAGCCTGCTGATAAGGTAGAATGGGGCTTGCCTTAGTTAGAGTCTTAGGCAGTGGCGCTTGCGTTAGTTAGAGTCTTAGGCAAGAGTAAGTGTTATCCTTACTTGAAGTCAGTATCTTATGGTTGAACCAGAATCACGTTGTTATATATTTTTTATCTCAATTACTAATTGGAATAAATGCCTCACCAATATGCATGCATTTTAGGTAATCAATAGCCATGTCTTAATTTCTAAAATCTACATGATGTACTTGGGACATTCTGTTGGTACTGAGTGATGTTCCAAAAGTAGTCATCCAGCCATACTCGGTGACACAGTTTTGCTTTTGATTATCTCTGTGCGTTTGTAGTTACTGCTGATTCTGTAGATAGTACAAATAATGTTAGTTGGGAAAGGAGCCTTTCTGATGAAGAATACTCAAAAATATTGACAAAAAGATTTGAGAATAATTAAAGACACTACTGCTGAATATTGAGCTCTTGGTCTTTATTTACAACGTCTTTTGTGATGTGAAAATTCTTTTGAGTGGCAGGTAAACCTGAAGTTGAATTGCCAACCAAGACGTGTAAAGTTACAACAGCAAATGTTCCGTTATTTAACAACTCAGCAAATATTTATTGGATGCTGGCTATAGCCCACTCTGTTGGGTACTAGGAAGACAAAGATGAATATGACATAGTATACTCCCAGACATACTAAGTACTCATCAGAGGAGCTAACCACGAACCATTATATATATATGGTGATAAATTAATCACTTTTGGAATGAATGAAGTGCTGGAAATAGATCGTGTTGGCTGGGGAAAAAATTGATAGGGAAAGCTTTGAAGAGAAGAGATGGAACTTTAAGTTATCCCTGAAGGTTAAGTAGAATTTTGCCACATGTAAAGGGGGAAGAGAGGGCCAGCATAAGCAAAATTGCTGAAGATTAAAATCGAATGGTATTTTTGGAAATATCTTGAATTGTTTCTTGTAGGCTTGTTGCATGGCAGAAGTGATGAGACAGGAGAAAAGTATTTTTGGAGCCAAATTATGAGGGGGTCTTCTCCTCCTTTCTAAAAAGTCTAGACTCTTCCCTTCCCCATTGAATTAGCAATGGAGAGCCATGGAAGGTAGAATAATCAGATCAGAAAATTAATTGACAGTTCATGTGCGGATTGCATTAGAGTGAAGAGGCAGGAAGACCACTTAGAATGTAGATGAGAGATGTTGGTAGCCTGAAGAAGGACAGTGGTCATGGAAAGGTTGTAGAGACATTTTTAGGTGTTAAAATCTCTAAATTTTATGACCAGTTAAAGGTGAGGGAGAGTGAGAAGTCAAAGGGGACATGTCTAGCTTGAGCAACTGGGTGATTATAGGGACATTAAATTAGAAAATACAGGTGGAAGAAAAGGCTTTCAGTGGAGAGAAGAAATAATGGCATGTTAATTCTAAGGCCCCTGTGGGTGTTTAAATAGATCCACTAGGTCATTGGAAATTCTGCTTCAGAGTTTATGAGATGATTAGGAACAATCGTAACGTAGATGACAGCTGAGACTATGGGGATAGCAACCTTCTGGGAGGTCTGTTAGTATAGTGGCTAAGTTGGGGGACTTTCAAGTTAGGAATACCCCAGGTCAAATCTCTGTTATGCCATTTATTGGTTGGGTGACCTTGGGCAAGTTATTTAACATCTTTAACGCTAGGCTTCTTATTTAAATTGTTGTTGTGGAGATTAAGAAAGGTAGTATGTGCATAGTGATTAGCACAATGTCTAGTTTATAAATACTTTGTAAGTGGCAGCTATTGGTATTATTATTATTAGTAGTAATAGATGTAGAGGTAGTAGGAGAAGGTCTAACTACCCAGAAAATGGAGAGTGAGAACCAGATAAGACAGTGAATGGAACTTTTGGAAATCAACACTTAAATTAGGTGTAAACTTAGATTAGTTCTTGTCTGAGTCCTGTTTGTGCTGCAGAATATGAGAGACTGGGTCATTTATAAAGAACAGAAATTTATTTCCTCACAGTTCTAGAGGCTGGGAAGTCCAAGATCGAGGTGCTGGCATCTGGTGAGGGCCTTTGTGCTGTGTCACAATATGACAGAAGGAATTACGTGGGCAAGAGAGAGAGGGAAGGGGGCAGAACTCATCTTGGAAACCCATTCCTGAGATAACAAACCCATTCCCACTATAATGGCCTTAGGAGCCTTCATGGTCTAATCTTAAAGGTCCCACCTCTCAACGTGGTTGCATTGAGGATTATGTTTTTGACACATGAACCCTGAGGGACACATTCAAACCACAGAAATTCTTAAACTTGAATGTACATCAGAAATACCTGGAGGCCTTGGTAAAACACAGATTACTGGGTCCCACTCCCGTAGTTTCTGATTCAGTAAGTCTGAACTGGGGCTTGAGAAGTTGCATTTGAACAAGTTCCCAGGTAATGCTGATGTTGCTATTCCCGGGAATACACTTTGAGAACCACTGACTTACAGGTCAGATGAAAGAAGAGGAACCAGCATAGACACTAATAAAGAGGTTGAGGTTTATTGAGAACCAGGAGAGAGTTTAGAAAAGAATAGGAATTTAACAGCCTCAGACTCTCTAGGTCCACTAGTCTGATTTCCAGTTCCACAGATCCCATCTCATTTTTGTCTCCTCCAGAATCTAGTGTAATGCCTAGTGTATAGCAATAACCTTTGAAGCCGCTTAATACTGTCCTTGTACCTGATTGCTCGTACTTCACACACAGATTTCATTCATCCTCTTATATCTCTGCTGAGTCACAGCGAGGATGCTGTTTCTAATTTTACACACACACAAAATAACTGCAGAAAATGTCTTTCAAATAGCTGATGTGTAGCTATGTGCATTTGACTTTGTGTTAGATCTCCTCCCCTCTCCCTTTTTTAAAAATGACAGTCCAGTTTCCAAAGTAATTGTCAGTGATATATACCAAGAGTCCAATCTGTGTCCTGTATTAGGCATCTTGGAGTTTTAGAAGGGAAGCAAATCATGGACTCCTAGTTTCTGGGACATTTACAATAAGGTGGATGAAATGGACAAAAGCCCACAGAAAAGCAACAGGAAGAGGTATAATCACAGAAACA